CCTAGAACGAGCAGATGCTATTGAGCTATACTAGCACGCGACTGGCACCCGCTCAATCAAATCAATGAGTAACAGGATGTCAAGAGATCAAGTGAAGTGTGATAGAGTCTAGTTGAAACCTAAAATTAACCTTCATAAAAACAAACTTGCCAATGTTGAGGCCACATAGCAATAAGATGCAAAACTAGTGCTAGAACCAGGGTCTCGGATGAGAATACTTGAGTTCTCTCCTCCTCTTGTACAGTCTATGTCAGCAAATCTGGTAAAAGGGAATGTTATTTATGGTGAGCCTTATATTAATTATATGGCATATGCAATTATCATCTATCTATCATCAGAAAAGATTCCAAAAAGTCTGAGTATTTCCCAACCCCATGCAGCTTAGGCACTAGCAGCTTTGATCTTCGAAAGTGAACAAGAAGGGTCTATTGTGATGTGAATAGACTGGATATACTTTATATCATGAATATAATAATATATCTCGTCTCGTGAATAAACTGTTCTTGGAAGTACATCGTTAGCTTTGGAAGTCAGGAAAGATTTAGTCAATCATTTGAGGACACCTCTGGTAGAATTATCCATATTAGTACCATTCTGCACAATTTCATTGTATGTTCAGGGCACATTCCAGGAATATGCAAGTGACTGACATGAACAAAGATGGCATTTTCTTACTAGTGATCATAGGAATAGGAAGTTCTATATTCTCCCAGACATACAAATTAGGGCTCTGTGTGTGACAAAGTTGGGAAAAGGGGACAAGTAACGATATTGGAAAGCCATACCCTCACAAACTCCTCAGACTCACAAACCTCAAAACAGTCCACTATATCCTATATTTATTTCTGATACTTTTCCCAGCATCCTTTCAGTCAGCTCACCAGCATAGGGGTGGAGATTTCCCTTCCCATGGAATATTTTGTTTTAGAACCTCAATTACTGATTCCAGTTCTCCTTTCCCTACCTCTAAGTCTTTATCTCACCTCACCTTAAATCTCTTTATTTAAACTTTACCTAGAATAATGTAATGTTGTTATTCTAAAAGTAAGTGATACTAGAAGTGAAAGATGATATTCAATTTCTAAAAACTTGTATGCTTTCCTGTTCCATATTTGTACAAAAATCCAGCCACTATTAATTTAATATTTGTCATTGCTGGATAATATAGACAATAAACAGTTGGAAAAAGGATTGAAGTTGAGAGAAACATGGAAGTTAGAATATAGAGACACTGGTCTGTGGTGGAATTCATGTGAAAGGATGGGATCACTAGGAGGTGGGAGTGTTCTGTGATGCTCCAAAAAAATGAGGCCCCTGAAAGACTCCAAAGATCTTCCCTGGGGGATGTCAATATCTATGAAGAAGAGAAATAAGCCATGAAGAGAAAACAAAACAAAGAAAAAGTAGCGACGGAAATACATCTATGAGAGGGGAGAGTTCTTCTTGGAAAAGCTGATGTCATCATTTCAAAGGATGCTGGAATGAAAAGTGACTATTTGGGTCAGTCTAGAGGAGCATTCTTCAACCTTTTTTATACTTGGCATTTGTCTGCATACCAGTCCAGCAGTGAACCACTGCAGAATAGCAATTAGTCATTATGGTAGATCATTGGCTTTCAACCATTCTACACCTGTGAACTGGAAGGTCTATGGACCATGATTTAAGATCTCTGATCTAGAAGGACATGAGATTTTTGAAAGACTGATATTAGGGATTCAGAGGATAATGCCTGAGGGTAGCTGAAAGGTGAGAGGGACTCAGGAAGACAGGAGAACAGACTTAATTTCAAGTGAACTATAGTCTTTTGCCAGTACCAGAATTTACCCATAATTTTCTTCTTCTTGATTAAATGAAATAGAACCCAGTATGAATTGGAATAAATAAGACTGTCATAGACTGGGCTTTTTCGGAAAGTATTATTGAATATATTGAAGGAAGATCCACAGAATGCAGTCAGAGGAAATAAGTTAGAGTTCAAAGTTACTTATGTGATAACCATGTGATTTGGGACAGGATATTTATGACATCTGACTTTTTTTAACTATAAAAAATGAAAGTTGTCATTATATCTCCCAAAGTTGTGAGATTCAGAAGTGATGTATATGAATAGACTTTAAGGCCCTCCCGTTGATCATTGATTTGCTTGAGCGGGCCCAGTAACGTCTCCATTGGAGACTTTGTTGTTACTGTGTCTGGCATATCGAATACTCTCGGTAGCTTGCCGGGCTCTCCGAGAGGGGCAGAGGAATCGAACTCGGGTCGGCCATGTTGGCTGTGTGCAAGGCAGACACCCTACCCGCTGTTATGCCACTATATGGCATCATTTACAATTTTTCATAGCTCTAAACTAATTTTAGAAAATTTCCCAGCATTAAATATGGTAGATTGAGTGTATGAGTGAAGATTTTATTTGACTGTAAAGAACAGAAGACTCAACAATAAGTTTATGCATACAACAGTTCATTTTTCTCACCTAACAAGAAGAGGATGGTACATCCGCTTGTTTTTTCAAGTCTTGGTTACTTTTTTACCTTCCTGTTCCCTCATCAAGAGACTTTTGTGTGCAAGGCTTCAAATTGCCATCTGTACTTTAGGCATCATATCCATGTCCTAAGAGGAAGAATAGGATGGTGACTGTCAAAGGAATATAGGGGAATGCCACTTGAATTTTATCTTTTCTTAACAAGACATTGTGGAAGTACCTTAAGTGCTCATTAACAGATAACTATTAAAATGAGATATATGTACACAATGAAATGTTACATAGCTATAAAAATGATAAAGATCTATAATTTGCATCTACATGGATGGACCTCTGTGGTATTAACCGTAGTGAAATGCATCAGACAGAGAAAGATAAACACAGTATAATTTCACCTACATGTGATTTATAGGAAGCAAATGAATGAGGTAAATAAATAAAAAATAAACTTTTAGATTATAAGACAAAATAATGACAGTTAGGTAAGGAGATAGATAACTGGTTAAAGGGGGCAATTGTAGGGTGAACGATAGAAGTGGAATTTTACTGGTAATTTTTTTCTTTTTTTGCTTTTTTGGGTCACACCCGGCGATGCACAGGGTTTACTTCTGGCTCTGCACTCAGGAATTACTCCTGGTGGTGCTCAGTGGACCATATGGAATGCTGGGATTTGAACCCGGGTCAGCCGTGTGCAAGGCATATGCCCTACCTACTGTGCTATTGCTCCAGTCCCTTTCTTTAGTGGTAAACTTAATACAATATATAAAGCTATTGAGATATATCGTCGAGATATATAAATGCATATATACATATATACATGCATGCATATATATGATACACATCTGAAACCTATATAATGTTTAAGACAATGCTACTTAAACAAAAAGAATTACAAAAAGAGTTCTTGTGGACACCAGTCTCTGTCTTCTGCATGCCTCTGTCTTCTCACTGGCCACAACTGTACTTGACAACTATCAGTAGTTCCCAGAGAGTCTAGCTTGGTAGACTGTAGATTTCAGTTGAGAATGCAATGGGTAGTGGGTTTTTCAATGGATTTGGGAAGCCCTCCCAAGAGTTTCCACACAGAGAGGAATTGACTTTGCGGGGTGAGAAAGGAGATGGAGGTGTTGCCATGGTGTAGAATGTTCGGGAGAAACACCTGGCAATGACCTGACAGTGAAGCTTTTGTTGCTCCAGAATTTACAGCAAAACATCTCTCTTGACCCCACCAGAAGGTCCAACCCAATACTTGGTTCTTTCTGGCCTCTAGCTCAAAGCAACAGCTGCCCATGGAATAAACACATTCCAGCTTCTTGATCTCCACTGCCCTGCCAGTGTGGTTAGGGCACATCCCCATCCTAATCCCATCTGAACACTCAGCAAGTTACTAGAGTTGTTTTTAGGGTTGATTTTCGGTCATACCCTCACTCATTAATGAGGATTTCAATACACATGCTTCGTTATCTGACTGTCTAATCAATTTGCATTTCATAAGTATCTGTTTTATGTCTTCTCTCATTCTTGGGAACCATGATGGATAAAGCATTAAGCTCTTTGATGGACCCTTACATGGTCAGCTGGAGCCATGTTCCCAACCCCTTTAGTTAGGACAATCTGATGATCCTCAGAACCTCCCCGAAGCTTTCTATGGGCTATGGGTTGTCACCACTTATATTAGGCACCATCTGTCTGGTATGGAAGGGAGACCACAGAGGTAGATACCTGCAGGATGGTGCCCATCCTGAAGTGGTCATTGTTCTTGACTTAAGCATTTTTTCAGCCCAGGAAATGGATCACAATCACTTTTAAGAGGAAATAAATAGAAAGCAAAAATTTTAAAGCATGAATAAGAGCTATTGTAAGTGGTTCAAACTCTGTATGTAAGCAATGAAATAAGATGAATTGGCTGGCACTGAGTTGGGAAAGCTATACAGAGGCAGGGAGTGTGGAGCGTAATTTAATAAAAATAAACTTTTTTTTTCATACACACTCTGAAAGAAGAACTGAAAAAGTTGTTAGGGTGTGGACCAGTGCTTCTAATTAACCGTTTTCTTCTGCCTGATTCACCTCCTTCTTACCCAGCACCTTCCTGAGACTTGCTGTCCCTGGCAAGGCCTTGGCCCAAGGAGTGGGCATTCTCCAGCTGCTGACCCGGGAGTGGGCTCAGACGCCCCCATTCGGAACACTGCTCGGTTGGACTGTTCCTGAGGACCCAGCGGAGGATCCGGGAGAAACCCACTGCCCAGGTAGCCGCTCTAACCTCCTTCTGACCTGTTGACAAAACAGAGGGCAGCTGGGAAGGCTTTTGCCCAGAGCTGGAAACAGCCACCCTCATTGTCCGTCTTGGCCCTCCCTGCTAGCGTCCCTCCCTTCCCCTCCCCTCCCTTCTGTCTGAAAGTGCGAAAATCACAAATCCTGAAGCGCTGCAATCAGACCTCTACCTAGGGAAAACGCAGCGCCTCCTTGCCATAGCATCCCGCTCCGAGACGCCTGACGTCAGAGCGGGGCGGGCGGGCGCGAGGCGGGCCTGGGGGTGGCCGCGGCTGTCTCGGGACACTGGGGCCGCCCGCGCAGCCGGGCCAGAGCGGCCAGCAGCGGCCAGCGGCGGCCAGCGGCGGGACGCGCCATGGGCTCCACGGAGTAAGTGCCGCTTCCCTGCTCCCCTCTGCGCCCTGGGCCGGGTGGGCGCGCGCCGCGGGCACTTCTCGCCCCTCGCTTTCTCCGGACTCCGTTGCGCGGGGCTGGAGAGCGGGGCTCCGCAGGCGGGCTGTCCTGCTGCCCCGAGGGGCTTGCAGGAGCCCCTGGTCTCTGAGTGGACTCTCAGGGCCCCAGTGCGTGTCTGTGTGCATGCGTGTAATTTTAGTGTGTGTGGATGGCTCCGTCTGGACACGGGACATTTCTTTGGAAAACTTTTTTTTTAAGCGCCGTGAAATCCGATTGTTGTTATCTCCAAATGGACAAACCTAACTCGTACTCCTCCTCGATGAACAAGCTTTTATGATGGAGACTTTGCAACCCCCCGCCCCCCTCCATCCACCCCCCAGTTCAGCTTTTGCCTTCATTTGGGTGATGGATGATTTAACTCTTTACCAACCCCCAATCGGCCCATCAGGTCTGGCTTCTGGCCCACGGGCATGGGTGCTGGACGTTCTTAAGCCAGTGGGACCTTGCAGGAGACCGTGCCACAGAAAAAAGAGGAACTGATGCAGGATCTCATACCTGAGTTTCTACCCGCTAAGCTCTGATAACACCAGCCCTGAAGCCTGGAAGAGAGATTCCAAGCTGGAGGCGGTGATCCTTCAGAGACCGAAGGGACGATGGCACTGGGGGATCATCCTCCTGTCCCTAGAACCCGTGAACGTGTCTAGTCCATGTGCCCACTGTCGGGAGACATGCTGGCTTCGCAGGGAGCACAGCTGTGCCCCTAAACAAGATGCAAACTCTTAACATAAAGATACTTGTCTGAGCTGTGGGGTGGAGGAAGGGGGTTGGCGGGGAGGGGGAGAGGGAGAGAGATTTTTATCAAAATTGAACACAGATTGCTGAGGTCTGGGCTTCATTTAACTCTTCTCTCTCTGCCTCCACTGCTCGGCCACAGTTCTGGGGGGAGCTTGGAAAGTTCTTGGGAAGGTGGAGAGGAAACCACACTTCTCTAGGAGAAAACTCCCTGCAGGTTTTCCTTGAAACCCAGATGGGAATGAAAGCAACTTCCCCTCTTCAACTGATTATAAGCTCCATCTTTCCCCTGCTTTTCATTTGGGTGTCAGTGACTTGGATTTCTCTAGTAAAGAGGGAGGATTTTTCTCTAGGATAGAGAGGGGGAATTGTTTCCCATGAAAAGTGGGAGCAAAGAGGGTGCAGACCTGCATGACCTATGGACAGCCCCCCCCCTCCCCCCGGGTTGTCCAATGCCTGGAGCTGAATGTCAATTGCTGGGTTTCACAGTCACCGCAAAGACAACCCTTCTGGCTTTGCTCTCACCGGCTTTCTGGTTTTGTCTTTTGCAATAGAGACAGCCTGCAGTGTTTGGGTGGGAGGAAGGTCGCCACACTAGCCCAGTGTACTAGAAAAATGAAAGGCAGAAGGGATGGGGAAGACATCTGGATCTGAAAACTAACCCACCCAAAGTTCAAGATTTGGGAAGGATTTAAGAAGTTGTACAGATGAATCCCTCGGGAAGTGCCATAAAACGACGCAGCAGACAGCAATGTCAGAGTGGACTCCTCTCATTTCAGGGGAATGTGTTCAACCTGTGTGTCATGGGGCGGAGAGGGGGTGGTGAAGGCAGTATCCCCAAGGGCCATGTAAACAAGACTGCATGTAAAAGAAGATGTATGGGGGCTGGTCCCAGGGAACTGCCTCTGCAACCTCCTGTTTCTGGCTGGTTGGCAATGCTAAGGGTCGTGGCCTCAGCTAGGAATGCATCAGAAGCCCACTTCTCCTGGGTGCTGGAAGGTTCATCGGACCCCCAACTCCTTCCTTGAACCCACCACAGTGCTATTATTGTCTTTCTTTGCCTCCTGTTTCCTAGCTCAGTTCCCTAGTTTTCCTCCAACCCCTTGAGTAGGGAGGGAATACTCCTGCCCTCCCTCAGGATAAAAGGAGGAGAGAAAATTCATCCTGGGCATTAACACTGGGAGCAGAAACTGAAAGGCAGGACAGTTGAAAGTCCTGCAGTGGTTTTGCTTCAGGTGAGTTGGAAAGGGTGGCCTGTTTCTGTGGGAACCTCTTCTTGTCTTCTTTCCCAAACACATTAACCACTGGGTTAAACTCTTCCCATCACTGTGGGGCAGGTTCAGGTGAAGAAGAGGGCTGTTGATGTGAAGGTGAGAAGAGGAAGCTGGTGAGGGCTCAGGATGTGGAGATTTCTGGCTTTGATTTTAAGTGTGTCACAGAAGAAACTCCAGGCATGATCCCACTCAATCTATAAATTTATAAATAAAAGGTGTAATACTCTGGAAAAGATGGAGCTCTAGAGTAAGAGGGAGAGCCCCAGAAACACTCTGGTCACAGCACAAGCCAGCTCAGGGAGCACTGGAGCCAAGCTGTGGGCTTTCAACTCTTCCGTCAACTGTGGAAGAGTTCATGGAATCTTGTCCCTTGTGAGTTGCCTCTTGGAGATTTTTCACCAACTTCAGCTCAGGGCAGATTCCCAGGCTGCTGCTACTTGGGCTCAGTGCCCCCTCTATCAATTTCAGCTTCTGGCTGACTCTCGGGTAATTTCTGAGCTCAGAAAACTCAGACAAGATACATTCTCAGGCTCTCCTAAGGACCTGAAGGCAACTGCACTCAGCAGGAGAATATACTTAAAGGGTGTCCTTGGCTTTGAGAGTGGGTGGCCCTGTGGTGCTCCATGGTCTGAGGCAGTGTCTCAGCAACAGGGGATACCAAGTTCTTCACTCTGGGGTTCAGATGTTGCTTAGTAGCACAGTAAGGCTTGGGAGAAAAGAAGAAACTTGGATCTAATGGTTTATTCCAGCTGAGCATCAGTTTCCTTATATGTATAATGAAGATGCTGTTTACTTCCAAAGCTTACTAAAAAAGTGATATCTATGCAAAAAGACTAAGAACAGAACTAGTAATGTTGTGAACTCATCATACTAGGAAAAGCTTAATTTTGCCGTTTAGATTTTTAGCCACTTGAATCTTATGTTTTTTGGGAAAGACATCTCCCCACGCCTGATTCCACAATGAAAGGACAATGGGTAGAGTTTCTAGGACTCAGATACACTTTATTTATTTTCTCCAGAAAGGGTGGCCAGTAGAGGAATATTTGTTCAACCTGATAGGTGGGAAGAGATGCTGGGAATTCTGAAAATCTGACCTGAAGCTCCCCTTCCCTGCTAACCCAGTTCCCTCGAGCTCCATTAGGACACTAGAGCAAGCCACATGTGTGTGGTACGTGGTAAGGTAGTGTGAAGGTGGGGCGCAAGATCCCATAGTTTTGAAGAATAAAGCTAAATTCTGTTTGGTCAGGCAGCATTTTCTCCAGAGCGCCCAGGGTCAGGGTAAGGGGAAGCATGACAGGCATAAATCAGAGACATTCAGCCATGTGTCAAATTTCAGGTGGATGGGGGTCTGCTGCTCTGGCCCCATGGTGGTCTCAGAGCCACAGAGAGCAGCTGCAGGTTCTCCTGGTCCATCCCACAGCTTCAGAGTTACCCTGCAAGTTGACGTTTATGACTTTGAAGATCACATTTGTTTCTGTTTTGCTCAAGCTCTCACTCTCTCTTTAACCATGGCCTGGGATGACTTTTCAGCTTTTAGGAGTCTTAGCTAGTGGCCAACTTCTCTTGAGTGGCCTGGATTTTGGAGTGGGGGTGGTCATGGTAAGTGAATTCCTCTCTTCATAAGCATCCTTTTCTTCAACTCTCTCCTCACGTGTTTGGATTGTTTGTTTGTTTCCTTATGAAGCTATAAAACTGAACCATCAAGATGTTGTGTAAGGAGGTAATGCCTTTTCTGGGACTGTTGTAGTGCTTTGCAACACTTTTCAGGTGAAGGGCTTGCAAAGGCAAGGGGGAGTAGGGGATCTTTCTGAGTCTCCCCTTTTCAAAGGAAAAAAAATGGAAAAAAGACCTGAGGAAAAAAATCCACTAGGTAATTTGATGTCTCTCTGAGTCCTGGCCCAAGGGGAACAAGATTCTTCATAGTAGCTCCAGGATTCCTTGAAAAGAACTTTAATTCACCTAGGTTTGTGTTCTGACACCTTTGCTCACAAGGTGTTCAAACTCTCAGCAGTGTCTTATTCCTCTAATCAATGAGAACACTAGCTCTCCTCACTTCTCAAGGCTATTCTAAAAATGAAATGAGCTCCTATATGGTGAGAACATAGGAAAGAGCTCGGGCCCAGAAAAACGTGGATAGTTGTTCCCCTGTGTTTCTAATCTCAGGAAAATACTTGGCTTTGGGCATTTGTCCATTAAATCAGCATAAATATACCACTGATTTAAAGATTTAACAATATCACTGAAATATCAGCTATCTCAGCCTGTGTATGGAGACTTTCAGTGCAAAAGTGAACAACCACCCCAGGCTAAACTCAAGGCAGCCTCATGTGGGTCCCTTACTGGATTACACGGAAGGCAATAGCACACTCACCCAGGAACCAGGAATATTATGGACTGGTATTTCCAGATTATTTTAGGAAAACTAAAGTGCTTTTTTGATTCAAAGAGTCAAGGACAAAACTGGGGAGAGAAAGGAAGGCACTACCTCACATGAGAACCCAATAATTACAGTACAATGCCAGTGGGGCTTTACATTTGTAGAACCATCTGCAGTTTAGAAAGCATTGCATCCTCATAAGAGTCCTATTGTATTAGCATTCATCATATTTTACAGTCATTTGGTTTTTTTTTGGTTTGTTTTCATCTGGAGACACTAAAACTACTAATATTGAAATATAAAATGTGAGGGCTTCAAAGATTTACCGTATGTCAAATAGTAGATAGGGGAGATGGGGTGTCCCTTTCAGCCATGTAACCAAGAGAACACAGCCCTGCTACAAATAAGAATCACCTAGGGTGCTTGTAAAAGTATCAGACCTGAGTTCCTCCATGGCTAGTTGTTTTTATAAATTCCATGCAGTAGGGTCATGCGATGATAGTTCTGTAAATATCCCAGGTGATCAGAAGTTT